AGTCACAGTGTTAAAGATGGCCCTGGAGTCATGCAGAGTCACAGTGTTAAAGATGGCCCTGGAGTCAGGCAGAGTCATAGTGTTAGAGATGGCCCTGTTGTCAGGCAGAGTCATAGTGTTAGAGATGGCCCTGGAGTCATACAGAGTCACAGTGTTAGAGATGGCCTTGGTGCTATGCAGANAGTGTTAGAGATGGCCCTGGAGTCATACAGAGTCACAGTGTTAGAGATGGCCTTGGTGCTATGCAGAGTCACAGTGTTAGAGAGTGCCCTGGTGTCATGCTGAGTCACATGGGTGGGGAGCCAGGGAGAACACAGGCCGGGTGGCAGGGAGAACACAGGGAAACACAGGTGGGGCGGCAGGTAGAACACAGGCAGGGCGAACATGGGCGAAAACAGGAAAAGCGGCAGGGAGAACACAGGCGAATAGGGAAGGGTGGTGGGGAGAACACAGGCGAATAGGGAAGGGTGGTGGGGAGAACATAGGCAAACACAGGCGAGGTGGTGGGGAGAACACAGGCAGGGCGGCGGGGAAAACACAGGTGAATAGGGCAGGGTGGTGGGGAGAACATAGTCAAACACAGGCGGGGTGGTGAGGAGAACACAGGCGGGATGGTGAGGAGAACACAGGCGGGGTGGTAAGGAGAACACGGGCGGGGTGGCACAAACCAAGTCTTTAGAGCTCGTCAAAAAGAGAGATGAAAACGAGATGGAGATGGATTCATTAGCCTAGTATTCACAGAGGCTGCAGCCAGGCATCTTGATGTTAAATAGTATTATTTATTCTCGGGCTATTTGCAGCCTGATTAGAAGGCCAGACGTTGACCGCATTCAGAGAACGTGCATGATGGGGCCGGGGGGGCCAGATCCACAAGCAGCTCCCGGGACAGACTGTCAGGATGCTGTTTTCCAGGCTACACTGCACTAGAGACGCTTTTCCCACTCCAGTTCGTTTTGGGAAGGAGGTTCCCGCTGCACTAAATACCAAAATGGTGCTAAGATCCGCAGACATGAAGCTGCTCTGTCAGGCCTGACTAATCTGACCCAGGGATCAGTGTCTCAGCTCTGACATGGACCCTCTTGCCTGAGCGCCGATCTGTCACCCACACAGAGACACCTCCTCCCCAGGAGAACCCATCTTCTACAGTGGATCTGCCTCCTCCTTCCGGCTGCTGCATTACAGTGAGCCTCCTCAGCTGTCCTGAAAGTATGGCCACTCCCAAATCTCAGAGTCAGCACTGTGCAGGCGGGGGGCGAGGCCGAGGTGGGCCTACCCCAGCCCAGATGTCAGCGAGAACCTCTGGGATGGATCATCACCCAGCCAGTTTTCAGCACAATCTTCCCTGTACTCCTCTGTCTCCCTCTGCAGCCTCTTAGAGAAGCTCCTCGCCAGATCATGTGACCCTAGCTGCTCTGATCCAGGAAGCTAACAGGAGGTGGTCGTCCACCTTGTGCCCACAGGGGTCAGGAGTCTCCCCATTGGGGGACTGTTGAAAAAAGAATTGGCATTGAATTATGGGAACAAAAGGGGGGACAAAAGAAACAAGCAGGGTGGAGGTGGGGGTGGTAGATGCCTCTATACACTTAGCCAGAATAATATAATGCAGTGTTTCCCAATCCGGTCCTCAGGGACCCAAAGACAGTCCACATTTTTGCTCCTACCGGGAGCTGGGAGGGAGCAAAAACATGAACTGACTGGGAAACACTGATATAATGGAATCCTGATTCACATAAGTTCACCAGCCCAAACCCTGAACATTAATGCCCCTACGACTTATAAACCCCTGCTTGTCTATATGAACAGCTGGTGTGACGTTCTGGACAGCTGGGGGGGGCGGGGGTGCACTGTAGAGGGCCGCAACCTCTCACTGCAGCATGGCATGCTCGCGGCGCTCCACGATCCCCCCTTTCCCGCTGCCTCGGTCTCCATCTGCATTGCAGCAACGCAGTGAGGCGCACACCTCTCGCCCGAGCACCAGCCTAGTGGAAATTTCCGTCACGAGTGCCCCCCGCGATGTGACGTGTGAGCGGAGCCCGGTGCATGCGTGCGGTGTCAGCTGAGTGAGAAAGTCCCCCCATTACATTCGGTGGCAGGAACCCAGAACCCGCTCCGCTTGAGGTCATGGATCGGACACGACGCAGACAAAAAACTTCAGCTCCCATCCTGATCTGCAGACGAGTCCAACAACACCAGAGCGCGTTTGGGACAGCAAGTTCATGATGGTGAAGAATATCTCTGACTGCAGGGATAAAAGTTGGCAAATAGTTTTGAACTGGGAGTTTTGTGGCCCAACAGCAGGGCGGCGACAGCAGGAAGTCTACAGTGCTCCTTTCATTTTTGCCTGCGTGTAAATCTGAAAACCCAATCCTGCTATCGACCGCATAGACAGGGAATTAAAATGATCGTATGTGCACATCGGTATCCTGAAGAGGCCGTCTGTGAATAGGCCCAGCATCAACATGGAGGCAGTGCCGGGACAGCTGCTCGTGTCTGTTCCCCTAAAACATAAACTGAGCAACACTAAGGACTGGTGTTTGTGATCAGCAAGCTCTGGCCCCTCATTTAAAAAGGTTAGGACACCTCCCCCTGCTCCCCCCTTCTCTCTCTCTCTCTCTCTCTCTCTCTCCCTCCCTCTCTACCTCAGCTGCTGCAGCTATCCCTGCCCTCTGCACTTCAAAGGCAGCTCGCTGTCACTCCAGGGGTTAGAAACAGTTAAAGCCTGTAGCTTTGATGTTCCCAGCCGATCCGCAGCCCATTCCTGCTAATTCTCGCTCTCTCTCTCTCTCTCTCTGCAGAGACATTCATCCAGTGTCGGTTCCTTCCTCTCTTCCTGTTCTGAGTCTCCTGCCCACCTTCTGCTCTTCCATGGATCATCTCACCTCTTAATCCCCCCCCCCACCCCCCCAGGTCCAGCAATGTCTCTCTCCTGTACATTTTGCCTATTCTAGATCATTCCATAGAAACGTTACGACCGGACCACAGAAACCTTTGTGGCTGAGGCTGGGATTGGAACCACATGTCCTGAATGTCCGTTTACAGGCATTGGCAGACCGATGTCATGGCCCAGGATTTTCCCCACCTAATGTAGTGGGGGGGGGGGGGGTTTGATAGGGAACGAGAGCTTGATGATCAGAATGATAATTTCCGGTAAAGTGGCAAGCATATCCCAATGCTGAGCTCTCAGTGGGGGGGGCTTGTGTCGCCATCTCGCACGACAGCACCCGTGACCCACAGGAGCCCCGCCTCCACCAGCCTTCGTTATAGCAGCAGAGCGGTCGGAGGGGCGAGATGAAAGCCCGCCTCTCATTGGCTCATGCAGGCGCCATCTGGCCAAGGATGGGTCCCGACACATGTGCGACGTCCCGGGGAGGGGGGGCAGGAGGCCACTACATCCCCAAGTGCCACGTCTCCCACTCCGGCTGAGTTCTCTCTCCCACAATGTGCATTCACGGTGCACGGCAGGGGAAAGAAACTGAGCTGCCCAGGGTTCGAATGCCGCGGTACCCCACCCAGCCCGGACGAGCGCTTCGAGTCGAGGCCCCACCCGGGTTGTGCCGACCGGCTGCCCTGGTCGGCTGTTAGTTCTGTTTTGCTCCTGCTTGGACTGCGATGGTGTAATTGAGGCCGCTGGGCTGTCTTTCATAGCGACGGAGGTTGAGCCCATATTGCCTGGATTTTGGCCTGGTTATGCGACCGGTCTGGCTCAGTTACGCGGCCAGACTGACACAGCACATGCTGATGCAAACCGTGTGTTCCGCAAAGACAGATGGGAGGCAACGGTCTCATTTCCCCCTTCTCTGTTCAGAAGATGCCTGCTTACCACAGCGACAACCGTACATAGATGTGCGTGAAAAACTCCCTCGGCTAACAGAATGACTACCGACGATTTAATTGCTATTATTAAATTTCAAGCTGTAAATATTCGTAAAAGGCTATTTTTTTTACTGCCTGTTGAGTGACATTTAAGGCACAATATGAAGTATGTTTCACAAAACAGAAGGGCAGGAAGCCAGCGATAACGGCCTAACCACCTTGCAAACGCATAATATACAGGCAGCCACATACCGGCAGCTATCAGAGCTGCTGAATAATTCATCGACTGTGTTGTGTGGGACCTGAGAGGACATATCATGAACTTCCCGCTCTGAAACACAGCTGTCCCAGATACAAAGGCTCTGAACAGCAGAACAATGACTGCAGCTCTGCATTGATGATACTGCGGGCGCAGAAGGGAGCAGGCTGTTAACTCCGCATGTAATGTTATACAGCCGAGAGCTGCAGTAAACACCCTCGTCGGTCCTGCATGCAAGCCTCAGTGGCCTGCTCTTCCTGCAGAGCTAGTTTGCGCTTCCTGGTTGCTGACATTCGCCGTTAACTCCCCATGTGGTATTGTTTCTCGCTGGTGCTCGGAGACGTATAATTTACCGTACAGCAAAAAATGAAAAAGAAAAAAACTAAACAAACAATTCCAGCCAAACTTGCACTTAACCAAACTTGCACTTAAATGGAAATGCATTCAAACCCAGGTCTGTAATCAGGGACTGTGTGATTGCCCTTTATTTTGAGTAAAGAAGTCAAAAACATTTGTTCTAAAAATTGTCACTCCTTGAAGGGAGCGACCTGCTGCCCAGCTTAGTGGTGTAGACAGATGTCTCTGCGCAATTAGGATTTACAACAATGGAAGGAAGTTCCTGCCTTTGTCTCCAGTTTACGAAGACGCCTTATTGTGACCCAAAGATTTCATGCATGGAAACAGACAGGATCTGCTGGACCATCACGGAATGGAGAGTCATCTGTAACCCACTTGCTGTGACCTTGGGCTTATTTCTGGAATGTTCACGCCGTCGAGCAAACGGATTGGTCTAGTCTGAACTACCCCAGTTGAGGGTGCTATGAGAAGAGCAAGGGTGAGAGATGTGTGACGTGGCACCATGATGGGATGGTACTGGGCGGTCATGGAATCGCTGGGGTGATGGTATGTACCGCACAGAGGGGGAGGACTCACCTGCCACAGAGTTGGGCCGAGGCATAAGGTAGAGGGGGATGGACTGGACGGAGTGGGACGAGATGGTCTCCAGGTTCCTCTCTGGGATCTTGTTGAGGCTGTAGGTAGATGCCGTCATGTTCTCATCCACGCGGTACAGGCACGAGTCCATGCCGGACTTCTGCGACTGCCACAGCTTCAGGTTCCCCCGTGAGCCTCTCTCCATATTCTCTGAGTAACTTGTCAGAGTGGCTGCGGCAGACATGGGGGGGGGGGTTGTTATGTGGTGCCCATGAATCACAATACAGCATGTGTTTAACATCAGCCCTGTCAGTTCTGCTGAAATGCATGGGGAAGGGGGGGCTGTTGGTGGCTAGCAATGACATCATGCATTTGGCAGGACACTTTAATTAATTATCCTCAAGCACAATGACTCTGTGTAACTGTCTTTATTTCATTATTGTGCAGACATTGGCTGTTTCACTCCACATCAAACCTAAAGGTAGTCCATTATAAAAGTACATTAAAGTGGACTGACTTTTCATAAACTACAATAAAGTATGCATATTTCTACATATAGAAACAAAATATCTATAATAAGATAAGGGCATGGGGAAATTATTTTGCTTTATATTCCATAAGTTAATGTGGTAATTAATAATGTGGTCATTTAATAACAACAAAGACATTATTGTGCTTTTGATATGTCTGTTGAGTCAAATTTGACCCTCATTTGGGGGCAGCGTGTGGCTCAGTGGGCTAAGCCTGTGTGCGTGTAATGAAAAGGTTGCCAGTTCAAACCCAGTCTCGGTACGTCTGCGGGTTCTTCAACAAGGCCCTTAACCCCCAGCTCTCTGGGTGCCTCAACAGGTGGCTGCCCTTCGTGGACAACTTACTCTACAAAGAGCAATTTGGGGGAGGCGCAAAGACAATTTCCCCATGGGGATCAATAAAGTGTTAATTATTATTATTATTATTTAAAAGAGTTTAAGCCCAGTTTTGTGATTCGACAACACTAGCACCTCCTACAGGTCTGTTGGAGACCTGCAGGTTTATATCTACCACTAGTAAAAGGATATGTAGCATACAGAAAAAGCTGTAAGGTTGGCAGTGTGACGTAGGGGAGGAATGCAGTCTGCTTCTGAAGCAGTGGGTAGTTAAGGTCAGTTACAGAATGATGATGAATAGGTGACACTCACCGATGATGCCGCTATCCCTGCTCTCAAGGGTGGAGGTGGGGCTGGTGACGGAGCCGTAGGCACAGTCCTTATTGCCGGGGTTGCCGGGGGTGGCGGAGGGCAGGGTGGAGCAGGGGCTGCCTGCTGGCGGGGAGGCAGTGCTGCTGGTCAGAGTGGAGCAGGGGCTGATCCGCTGGGTCGCTGACAGACCCTGCAATGACCATGGGGGGGTCGGTGGTTAGGGCTGATCTCGGCCACGTTGGGGAGATCTGGAACAAGTGCGTGACTGCAAAAACACCACCATCTGCACTTCTGCTGGGAAAGCTCCTCAACGCCAGGCCAGCCACACATCATACTCCAAAAAGAAAGAAAAATACAGGTATGGCAGGGTTTTGGTGAAGGAACATCAGCTGATCTGACAGAGTGCTTCCTGGACGCCGCCTTTCGGCTGCTCAGAACCGCAGCCAGGCCCTAATAATAGAAACGGCAAAGCCATGAGGGAAGACGTTAACTCCAATGCTACACACCTCCACCGCTGTATGCTCCCAATAATACTGATATTATCATTCGGAATATCCAGCGTGGACATACGCTCCGAACTCCAGAAACCGGTGCAGAACAGATGCTACCATAAAGAACTACAGCACAAAATGGACACCTGGAGCAGAACTACATTTCCCATCTGAGATGTGAAGCTGTAATGTCAGTCAACTGATTGAGGGGAAGCTGGAAAAAAAAGATAAAGCAGGATGTATCTCCTCATCCCCCTCAAGTGTCCTGGTGGTAAGGCAGAAGATCACGCACGAGCCTCCTGCAAAGAGCATCTTCTTGTTTGACTGGAAAGTGAAATGTTTAGTTAGGCCTTCAGAAATGTTAGACTACAACACCCCTTGCCTTGTGCTTTGGATTTTTAGTGCAAAATACCGATGATACATCATACCTCACACTACACTCTATTCCAGCCTCTGCCCTTTTCACGCACAGACGCCGCCTGGTTGCTCTGAGACGCTGACACAGCAGCACAGCCCTTTTGAATTCCACCGCGTTCGCCTCCTTCCCCAGTAGCGCGTATCGACGAGAGCGGCTCAGACAAATGAGGCGGCAGTGATTTCATGGCGCCCGACGTCGTGTCATCTGTGCGATTCACTCGGGCGGTACGGGGCGTGAGGAGAGACAGCCACAGAGAAGGAAGCGGGAACGGGTGTTTCTGCTATCACACGCAGGCCGCCTCTGCCTGACAGAAGAAGCTAAAATCTACATTGATGGCTGTTAGAAGTCGTTCAATTTGCTCTTTGACTCAGGCAGATGGGGAGACAGCCCAGAATGCAGAAGCAGCCTTTGAACAGCTCCCCCCCCCGGCACCTGGTGGTGACCCTGCCTTGTGTTAGCTCTGTTCTGGATAAATGTCAGCCTATAGCTCTCACAGAAATACAAACGTGTAAAGTCTGCCAGCTCTGTCTCCTCAATTCCTCAGGACTTACATAACTTACAAATCACATAATTGAGCTCATTAAAAAGTTAATTTAATATAAGATTCTCCTACTGTGGGACTGCCATTGAATCACACAGCCCACACGTTAGGGAGCGGCCGACCCCCCACCCTCACTTGGTACAGCGGCTGGGCTGAGGTTCCACACTCCGCCTCTGCTCTCCCTTGCCACCCCTCACCCACGCTTCATACTGAGCCCCAGGTGTTCCTGAGCTCGGCGAGTGCCAGACAGAGACAGCTAAGGACCAGGAGATTCCCCCCCCCCACCCCATCAATTCCTGAGTCAGAGTGAAGCCTTCTGGGAAATGCACCAAGAACGGTCTGTATGTCCACTGCTGTCTGTGAGTGAGAGACCGGCAAACGGGCCCGCTTATAAAACACTACAAGGACAACAGGCAAAGACTTCATGCTCTCAGCAAACCCAGTGCCACTGACAATCCACGTTCTCATCGGCTCTAGAAGTCAAGCAGCCTATGGGGGCAGAGGCGGACATTTCAGGTGCAGAAAGTAAAAATCCAGACCAGGATTTTGTTTAAACCAACCAGTTTAGTACTATGTGACTGAGACTCTTTATGCTCAACTGGTTGGTTGAAACAAAATCCTGGTCTGGATTTTTACTTTCTGCACCGGAACTGTCGACCTCTGTGTGGAGGTTTGCATTAGCCTCATAGGGTTAAATGCTAACTGCTAACCCAGCCAGTGAATGTTGAGCCGGCTGTCGGGACCCGGGTCCTGCCCCATTCCCTGCTAATGGGACCTCACTGTTTTTCGTTCCAGCTGAATCCTTAATTAACAGAGCTTGACTGAGCAGTTGACTGAAAGAAACACATTTAAAAACATTTTTTTGATAGATTTTAATTGAAATTTCATTAAACCGAATGCATTAGTTAAAGATTTGATGTTCCTTCCCAGCTGTGTTAACCTAAATTGTTGTTAGGAATAATTTTAATGGTAAAAAAGTGACTGGATGTCATCCATTAAAATTAATTATACACTGTTTATTATTACTTTTTAATGAGTCAATGATTATTCATTTATACTCTTTGAAAAATTAACAAAATGATGAATTTCTGTAAATTACATACCAAATATCAAAGGGATGCACTTACAAATTTTAAGATAAAAAGTGAGTGAGTCTCATTGACATTCTGTCACATAATGATAATAATTTGAATCATACAACAAATATTTCAAGTAAAAAAATTTAAATAAGTGAAGCGAAGAATTTTTTTTTTAATTTAAGCTTGTAGTTAGACTGAGAATAGTGTATAAATAAACACTCACTACAAAAATTAAGAGTGGCAATGCATTTTTTTAAAGAAAGTGTTACAGAAGCATTTGTAGCACCAAAGAATGCAAACTGTACTGAGTTCACATACTCTTGTTCGGTTGTAACCTTCAAATGGAAATGAAAAATAATTGGGAAAATGTCAAGAAATGTCACCCAGCAGCTAAAACTGATTTATGACACAGCTGGACTGAAAGCAACAAGCCCCCCAAATGGAGACCAAAACTACAGGGTCACAGTTAACAGATTCTTTCCTAAAGCTTGTATCAGAGATCTACCTTTGCTCAACCCTTGTCCTTTATCTCAATCACTATTGATGTTCTGTCCTCTCTCACCCCCGGAAAATATGCCCCGACTCCAGGACTGTAACGTTACATATCATTGTCGTGTGTCGTTCAGTTACATCATACAATGAAACCAATGAATGTATTTCTTGACAAAGACAGAACCTAACTTCACAAGTAGGTGTTCAACATTGAAAACATTATATTAATTGTGGCTGTGTGTGGCGGTTATGACTTTTATGCAGGTTACATTCAAGGTTACATCCAAGCCGCCTTACGTCCACATCGTACCTTGCTGGAGCGCAACACCACCTCATTCAATGTTAACTTTGTAAATATTCATAGCAAATGGTTAAATAAAATGCCAGTTTTGTCCAAAAAATCATGTTTTTTCCACATGGTTTAACGTTAATTTTCATTAATAACTCTAACTAAACATATAATTCTTCAGTGGATGAGATACTCCTACATGATGCCTTGAATTTGCTCCAGTTTTCGTATTTAGACTCATTTTTCTTACTGTACCGCTGCCAAAACTTCACTTACTAGCTAGACTTTGCTGTAAGACGCGTGTAAAAGGAACAATCCGTGAATAACTTGATATTTTAATGCATTTTCACAGAGACATTAGCAATGAATAAGCAAGAATATAACTTTGGTGCATTTGTAAGTTTCATTTACATGCTATGGTTCAAAAACATCAAAAGCTATTTAACTGCATGATATGTACAATATCCATATCAAATAATAATAACTTTTTGATCACATTTTACTTCATTTTGTATCGCTTTACAGTGGTAACACAACGCACTGACAAATGCACATATTGCATTTAAGACTGTGATCATAAATACATATATTAACAAACTAACATAGAGAATGGCTTATTCAGGAACCCCCTCCCCCCAACTCCCCCTCCCCCTTGATTCTGACGTAAACCCTGTTTAGTCAGTTATAATCAGCAGTTTGGGAACATTCTGGTTTCCCAATAAATTATACCAACATCGAACAGGGAGAGTTGTTGATAAGACCAAGACTATTGGCTACCGACTCAGATATGTTGCTGGAAACATCCACCACGCTAACTCGTTTGAGACAATGTCATCCGAGCGCGTGTTCGCTGGAGCAAGCCAGAAACAGCCTCTATGTGGCATCTAATGCGGCCATACTTTGTAGTAGACGGGATTTAGACAGGATTTGGTTCATTATGACAGTTATGATGAAGTCTTATTGTTATTATCAATTTCTATTTATTGTACATATACATTTTTGAAATGTGCAAATAAGATTCTTTTTGGTTTTGTTATTCAGACATGTTGACAGACACACTGCTTTTGGCTTATAACTGTTGGTAACTGAGTGTCTGTTTGCAGTTTTACTAATAAATAAAATTCTGTCTTCCCTGTTGTACCAAAATCGCACCAAATCATGAACCCAAAACTGAGGTTTGTATTGAACCATGAATTTCGTGAAGCGTTACATTTCTACCAGGCCCAGTTCCGGCATCTATTTTTTTTCTTGTGTGTTTTTCTCCGGGGTGACGATGGAGCGTCTGTCTTTCATTTTGCCCCCCCTCCCCCGTCCTCAGTCACATGGCTCTGTTTGCAGTCTCGCCTGCAGCGAAGCCCGACATACAAACAGCGAACAGGCATCTTTAAATACAAAGGGCTGCATACACACATGCATGACTGGCCAGTTCCTTGATGACACACTGTCACCAGGCATGGTGACAAGCTGTGCCGTGCGGGACCACCGTGGGATCCACTCATTCCTACCCCTGTGGGTACAGAATGCAGCCTTTCCACATCAGAGGCTCATTCTAGCTTCTCATCTCCAGGACAGAGACACAGAAATGATATTAGCAGCATGAGGACTTTATCAGGAGAGCTGCTATCCATCCGTCAAGCTGCTGAGTGAAGACAAAGCTCTCTCTCACGTAAAAGGCAATCAGTCGTCCCTCGCCGCCATGCCTGCACTGTCCACGCCATGCTTTCTGAACCCACTGAACCACCGATTTTATTTTATTTTTTAAAAATCAAGGCGTGTGGCCCCTTGCCGATGGCGAGCCATGTCGTCTTTGTCAGACATGTTAGACGCTCAGTGTAATACCCGCTTAACGCAGCATGGGAACCATCTCAAGAACATTTATGGTGTAAATTTCCATCTTTAACTCGAACTGTCATCTTGAGTCATATTAGCGCCCATTCCATAATAGAAAAACTATTGCTGAAGAATGCAGGCTGCATCTGGGCCACGAGATGCCTTTGTGCGATATTTTCCGGCTGTGTTTGGGTAAATATAGCGCTTTATGTCAAGACTTTCGCATAGCCGGAAAATTTAGCATAGCTAAGGCAAAACGCTGGAGCGGCCATCCTGTGACGACAGCACACGGCGACTTTGAGTTCAGGAAGCGCGGAGGCTCCGTGAGTCATCATGTGAAACACGAAGCGCTGGCAGTCTCTACACACCTGACACCCCGGCTGCTCGGGGCGCCGCTGATCTGCTCCAGCCCTCCAACCCCCCCCTGCCTCTTCCTCGTCAAGATTTTAGCCAGAGCGGAGGCGTTGATGAAGCGCCCCCCCGAAAATGGAGTACAGGATGAATGCTAGTGGTGACTCGAGGCCCGGTTTTCAGGGGGAGAATAACGGGGGGAAAAAAACAATCCGCAGCACAAGCGAAAAGCACTTACCCAGGCCGCGAGATGGGATTAATGACACGTAAAAGTAACTGGAGAGTTTTGCCTAACGATCGGTCAGAGAGGCCTACTCACTGGCAGGGTACTGAATCGTGCTTTTTCACTGCAGAGGGGAAGACTGGGGAGAGGACTCTCAGTAAACAGCCCATATAGCTTATCTTCTACGCCGGTGTTTCAACACGGCCTACTGCGATGACGTAACTCAACAAATCAATTGGCTCGATTGGCTGACCCTAGATAAGTAACGGTTGAGCACTTATTGAAGTCTCTTATCATCAGTCGTTCCTCTCCCCCCCCCCCCCCTCCAACGCACACACATTCAAGTTATTCCAGTGTCAGAGCCCCATTCCCAACCCCCATTTATCAGTGGTTTGAGTGGAAAAACTGGGGGAAACGCATTCCTGTATCGGGCCGCTGCAGTGCTGGAAGGATTTCGAAATAATGGCCATCAGTCATAAATGTATTTGGTTGGTATCACTCCTCTGGTACAAGCCGGGCCTCAATCTGGGGTGGTTACTTGCTTCATTTCCACAAATTCCGCTCTCAGATTCCACGGACGCCTCTGAAAACTTCACAAACATCTCAACTGGGATTCTTTCAGCTCCCACCCATCCAGCCGCCCACCGCCCTGACCACGGTCTTGTTGACAGAAAGAAGCGGCGAAACCCCTGATCGGGCAAGCCATGTGCAATGCTAACGCCAACGGTCATCTGCGGCAGATGGGGCATCATCGGACTGCAGAACCATGCCATTCAGGTATTCCTCAGCCTGGCCCTTTCCAATCTCAATGCAATAACAAGGCCATACCATAGGTCACAAAAAGTTGAGGCTCCTTCCCCAAGACTCCTGAAGATTTGACTCCTTCCACAGAGCCACAGAAAGCGTTCTACAGTAATCACGAGGGCCCAAAGATCCGACGCCCTCACTGAACCCACAATGAACCCCTCGGCACCGTAAACAGTGAGCTTTCCTAGCAAAAAAACAAGCATAGTGCTGGGAAGCATTACTGTCCTCTTAACATGCAAACACAATTCATGCAGTTTGCTATAGAGGTAACTGACAATAGAAACTAATGCATTATTCATAAGTCAGAAACCTATTATCATGGTTTGGTTTTGTTACAGACAGAGTTAAGGGGTCTGCTATTAGTAGAGCCCATTTTCATTACAGAAATGTGACTAGTATGTTAAAGTAACCTTTGATCTATGCACATGAAGTGCATTTAAATTTTAATAAAGTTTTTTTTTTTAAACAGAAGGTGAGCTGCCCTTATTAGCTGTCAGAAAGGCTGGCAAGGACGAGGTCACGGGTCCTTTTCAGGAGTAAAGTAGTTCAGTAACACTTTACTTGGCGGCCGACACAAATACTTAGTAATAACTCAGTTACTACTGCAGCAAAAATCATGAATGAATCCTGAACAAATATATTTGCTACTTGTGGCATGATTCATTAACGATGAATAAACATGAGATCAGTATTTCTCATTTCTCTTGTCAGTAGTCCCTTAGTAGTTCACAAAGGTTTATAGAATTAACAGATATAGTAACAAATATGGTAACTGCTTGAGATAATCAATGGTGAATTAACAGTATATCACTATGTTACTAAGACTTAATTTGTGTTTAATTAATACATAAGTAATAGTATAACTATATTATTTGCGCCTCGACAAGTAGAGTGTTAACAGCGGTTCTTCAAAAATAAAAGTGACTCGGTTTCAAAAAAATAATTACTGCTTTCGTGCTGCCGAAGAGGAATTTCAAGGTTGCTTCTGAATTTAAAATCTGTTATTTAGTTTTAAAACATCTCAGCTGAAATGCTGTTGACAGCACAAACACGTCAAAAGTACCGTAATTCCACACTTGTCGTTTCAAACGCATTTTACTTATTCATAAACATATGGGTTTCTGATCAGTACAAGGTAGATTCCAAGAGTCATATCACTGGGACCCAAAAACAATCCCCAAAAATGTATGTCAACGGCTTTCGGAATTGATCACTGATGGGATTAAGCCAGAGCTTCAGCATTAATATGCAAAAGACCCATTTAAGTGCAAATAAAAGGATTCAAAGTGCCACTATTGGTTCTGAAGCTGCCGTTTTGAGGTGCACAGGGCAGACGCAGACGGAGGGTCCCGGGGGGATGTACCTGGTTGTCATCTTGGTCCTCCATGCCGTACTGCGGTGCGGCCTGCCCCTCGCTCACTTTCTCTCCCAGCAGGAACCCCAGCCGTGTCATCAGGGTGTTGGCTGCCTCATCCACTGAAGGGGGAGGCCCCAGCTCCTGGTTCGACTCCCCTGAGAAGAGAGAGAGGGGCACAGACAGTCATCTACAGGGTTTGGGGGGCCTGGTGACAGCAAGAAGCTCTTGAGCTCTGACCCACACGTGACGGAGGCCCCCACTGACCATCCGACTGCGGGGAGGCGTGAAAAAGCAAACAAACACACACACACACACACACACACAATGTAAATGCACAGAAAAACACACACAGAACAGAAACAATTCAAAACTCCAGAAACCACGCACAGTTCGGGCAGAAAACACACTAATATTAGCCTGCTAACCATCGCACTGTATAAACATCCGTCACACTGCAGCCAGTGACTCGTTAAGTCTACAGAGGACTGTGGAGATGCTGGATAAACTCGTTCCAGAACAAGCTGCATTTTAGCAGGTGAGTCAGCTGAGCTAACCGGCATGCTTATCAGAAGCGCTACAAGAAGCAAAAGTGTGTGACTTTCAGCGCGAGAGTAGCGAGATACCACCTGAATTCTTGCTTGAGTGGGGGCCAATTCTCTGAGCCGAGCGCCCCCTGGTTCCTCCGTCTCCCCAGCGGTCGACTCCAGTGAACATCCCAGCAGGTTTTAAGCCAAAAAAAGGCCGGCGGGCCGGGGATTAAGAGTCACACCCTCGGCTGAATTCGAAAGCGCATGTGTGTGTGTGTGTACCTGTGTGTACCTGTGTGGGCGTGAGCCCAGCCTGCGTCAGACACGCCCACTTTTAAAGGTAGCAAGCGTTACAGGCGTCGCTGGTCCCCTCCTCACCATGTGATTAAACACCAGCTCCTGTAAGTACAGTAAATGACCCAGAAGGGGTGACTTTAGCTGCGGCTGGCAGTGCAGATATCTTTTGATGTTGTTACTTCCAGGCTGAAATGAGAGGGCCAGACCTGGAGGCTTCCGAGCCCGAGAAAGCTGGTGCTGAACAGCCCAAAAGGCCTCTTTATTACGCACCATGCCGACCCATATGTGCTGGGTATGAAGGAGGGGGGGGTGATGAACGCGCATGCATTCCACTTTGATTACCTACGCACGACGTCATCTTAAATCACTTAATAAGAAGCATAACAGAAACCACGGTCACGGTTTCACATCAGCCCCCGCAGAGAGATCACAAACACGGCGGGATCACATGACGGAGCTGTGAGCTTAGAGCCCCTTCAGCTCTGAAGTCGCTTTTCTGATGAGGAACAGCCTGAACACTCTTTGAAATCACCAGGTGGGAGCTGTTTGGCATTCCTGAGGCTCTCCGTGTAGGATCTACTCAATACAGCCACTTAAACATGGAGATAAGGCTTCCTGAGATGGCGGAAAGATAGGCAGGCTGGGACAGCTGTTTGGACAACAGAGCGGCGAGAGGGCAGCAGGTCCGACCGGCCAGGCGAGTAACGGCTCCCGCAGGTACATCTCTGTGAAAACAGCGGCCATCGCACTCTTCAGTGCCACACCCCTGACCCCTAAGCTTTCTGACCTCAGACCTACGACCCCCCCCATCCTAATGACACTGCCTGCAGCTGGTCGCAGACGTCACATAACCAAAAAAAAAAATAATGCCAATTCCCCTCAGCATAGACATATGGTGTTAAGGGTACCATCCCCTGCTCAGTCTGCACCACATCTGCCCTTAAGAAACACTGCAGTTCAGCCTGTGCAGGGATGTACTCTATGTACAGAAAGAGACATATTTCTGCGTGCGGCCTGGGCGGAGCCGGGCTGAGCTCACTGGCCAGGGACAGCTGGGACAGTATGAGGGAGGTCTCCCCCCACGACACAGTGCCGCCCCTCAGGCCACTACTTAGCATCTGAATCACAGGTAGACCTGGTGGGAGGAGGTGCCGTTCAAAGGACGCGCTGGCTGGAGACTGTGGGCCGTGGCCCGCAGTGCCGGCGATAAACCGCATTACCTGCCCTGTGCTCCAACCGCGAGCTCAGCGTCACTGTGCAGCCCAGTAAATTCTCTGTATTTTCCAGGGTGCAGATACCAGCCATCCAGCAGACTGTCGCTGCTGTAATGCCGTTCCTCCACAGCCTGATGCACAGGACCCGCCCTGTCAGTACCTAAGTACAGACGACCCTTTCGGATCCAGCCCCCATCTTGGACACCCATCACAATACAATGCGTCCATATTCTGGGCACAAATACAGCCTAAAATTGCACGTACTGTATTTTTTAGAGGAAGCCAACCCAAAGACCTGCTCTCATTGATTGATTCCAGCCCGTTCAGTACGTCACACGCGGAGTTGGGATCGGTGCCCAAGTAAACAAATACCCATTATGCTTCTCGTTAGCATCTCCGCTCGCATTATATAACGGTACGTAACGAAGGACAGAGCGCAAGGCTTACTCTTCACCCCATTCTCTCCTTCACGGATTCCTGCACAGTGCGAGAGGAAGACAGATGGTTGTCATGGCAACTATCGGTGCGCCAAGGAATGCGTTCCCGCTCGGCGCATCTGTCTCTCCGTCTGTAGACCTGCCCGACCGCCCTGCACCACCAGGAGAGGGGCGGCCCAGCTCGTGGTTGTGGTGGTGATGGTGGGGGGGG